AATTGCTTCTTTCTCTCAAAAATCATTCATATTTTCTTTCTAAAGTATTAAGTGAAAAAATACACTTTGGATAGGTATGTCTTAAGTACATTTTTACTTGTTTATTTAGTCTCCTAAGTTCAAGCCAATCTGTTTTGTTGGACTTTTGTGCCAGTGCAAAAGCTCACTGAAGGGAGGATATGAGATCCACCTTAGGAAAACTTCATTTAGGTTGAGGTTATCCAGGTTTCAGACAACCTGGACATCTGCAGGAGGATATAAGCAATATTTTTTAGGACTGAAAAATAGGTGGATACACTGCCACTTAAAAGCCAGTGTTAAACCTGCACTTCACAACATGTACTTCAGTAGGTTTAAAAAATTAATGCTATTAATTCTAACCAAACAAGAAATTCCAGAGGAAGATACGAAATAGTGGAGAAATATCTAAACTCTTAATGCCAAGCATGAACATGAGAGGTAACATCATTATGGATAAACAGGGAAAGGATTGTCTGTCTTCTACAGCTACAATAGAACATGTAAAACTCTGATTTTTTTTTTTCCAGAAAAGTAAACTCTTAGTGATTTTGTCTGTGGTGGAAAGATGGCAACACTAGAGGCTCACGGCCTTAAAAGAAATGCAGAACAGTTCCCAGTTTTTTATTTCTAAAAGCAATATAGTGTATAAGCCAATCTCAGTGTATTGGGAATTCTGAATTATGATTTCCCAGTGTTTGGAGGACATTGTTATGAATGCTTCTTTTATGCAGACATTGAGTAGAGGGAGCAGACCAGATGTCTGATACAATCCCAGTGGTGTTCAGACGCAGAGAGAGCATGCACACACTTCATGAACTGTTACCTGTATAAGGCAATATGTTTAATGTATGTTGAAGAAACCAGCTTCCACTTTGAAGATGTCACAGCCTTCCTGAAATTCTTTGGCTGGTTTGCCTGGAGGAGATTGAGGGGAGACCTCATTGCAGTCTACAACTTTCTCATGAGGGGCAGAGGAGGGGCAGGCACTGATCTCTTCTCTGTGGTGACCAGTGACAGGACCTGAGGGAATGGTCTGAAGTTGTGTCAGGGGAGGTTTAGGTTGGATATTAGAGAAAGGTTCCTCACCCAGAGGGTGGTTGGGCACAGGAACAGGCTCCCCTGGGAAGTGGTCACAGCACCAAGCCTGACAGAGTTCAAGAAGCATTTGGACAATACTCTTGGGCACAGGATGTGACTCTTGGGGATGGTTCTGTGCAGGGCTAAGGGTTGTACTGGATGATCCTCGTGGGTCCCTTCCAACTCAGCATATTCTGTGATTCTGTGAAATATGGATATGAACATTTGCATCCATCCAGATTAACAGTTTAGGAGACTAAGCTATATTGAATAAAAGTAGTTAATTAGTAAACAATGACACAAAGCTGCTTAGATCATATTTCTATTGCCAGGTAGGTTTCTTGAGTGAGGAGGAATGTTTATAGCATCCTCTTGATGTGGGAAAATAGTGAAATATTGTTCATATGGTCTGCCGGATTTAACAATAATAATTATTTTTTGTTTTAAAATCTGTTACTGTTGTAAAAACATGAATGTTAGGAAATGAAGCACTTATTTCACAAAGTGCAAAGAAACTTTTTCACACAGTGAAGTTTTGGTTGGGTACTGAGGCAGGTGATGCTACAGGAATGGTATTATCATTTTTTGCTTGTCCCAGCTTAAGTTTTGCCTTCATGATAGAGGCATGTTGGGAAAATGCTAGATGTATTTCTAACAAGCTTGAGTTTTTGGTCCAGATGATAAGCTATACTCTTTAGTTTGCAGGAGACTGTGTTAATTTATAATCACAACAATTATTATATGATTTTTGAAAAATTGTGTGCAGCCACACAAAAAGCCTGAATCCTGTGATAAACTGCACCGTGGCAAGTCAGCTTAATTAGTACAAAATACATCTGTCACAATCTGTCTCTTTACCATAGCTAGGTAACATTAATTCATGTCTGAGTCATCTAGTTTCATTCAACACTCTTCTGATGTGTATTTGTCACTTGTAGCCACAGTGGAAGTTTACGTTTAGAAAATGTACCCTGTGTGTCAAAAGCCTGACTTTTGATTTGCTTGAAGCCCCAGCTAGTACCTCATACTGACAAGCACTAGAAAGAGGCTGAGAGAAAAGGGATTTCTCTGCCAGCTGTGATAAGTCTTTGTCATGAAAATTTGAAAAAACAGATAACCCAATGGAACATTTCTGTGACCTTGTGCCCAAACTAGGAAATGGGATGAGAATAAAGTTAGTGAATACTGAAAAATGATCTGGTTGTAGATTAGAGAAACCATGCAAGTGTTTCTTTATGTAAAATGGTGCAAATTTTAAAGCAAATAGAAGCACACATTATTTATACATAATTTCCAATGAAACTGTTGATCAAAAATCTCTCAGAACTCTATTTACATTTTATTATTGCCATACTGAGTCAGAATGTATTAGAATGAATTGTGAGTATGTATAGCTGTCCTATTGTGGAAGAGATTAGCTAGTAACTCCACTTGATACTTGTAATCTGTAACTTGTTAAAAGTAAATTTAGTAATTTTTAACTCCTTAAAAGTATTTTATTAAAAAGATCAACCATATCAATAGAAATAAAGATATCAGTGGAATAATGCATTACTTTTAACATTTTCAGGGTTTCAACTAGTTACCTACTTAATTCAGTACAAGAATTCACATGATTAAGGCAGATAGAATATAGGAAAAGCTAAAATATCTTCTAGGGAGACTCAATTTCATTCTAAACTAAGTTATTAAAAGAAGTCATTAGCAAGGTAAAGTCTCTGCTGGGATGTGTGTGTCCACTCTAACATCAGCTGAATGTCCTAGAACTCAAAACAGCTGCAGCTGTTCAGTTTATAAAGAATTTTCCTCATCTAGTAATTTCTGCTGTGAAACAAGTGAGGGTGTTATTCCTCTGGTGTAGCTGTAATATTTTGAGCCTTTTCCTGAGCTCTGGCTGATGTCAAACGAAGCCAGTGGCTAAGCAGTCTGGTAAGGACAACAGCTTTTCCTATCTCATTAAATCCATGCATGTTTGTTTGATCTTATTAGAAAAATGTGCTGACAGCTCT